CATTTTAAATGAAAAGCATTTGGACGTGGAATTAATGATAATTTCTTTTTTTTTATATCTGTATATTCAAAGATTGATATAATTTTGCTGTGTTGTATTTAAGGCGATAAAAATTAAAATAGAGTTATTAAATGATTTGTATTGAATATACACATGCTATTTGAAAATTGATATATATATTGTGATAATTTTTCATATCAATAAAGTTTTATGTATTAAAGTAAGTTTTATTATTTATATTTAAAACGATTCAAAATGTTAGAGCCTGATGAATGTCAATAAAATAACGAGTTTGTTCATTACTGAAATTTAAATTGTACCATATGTTTTTACACATATATTAGCAATTAGTTAAGTGTACCATATGTTATTACACATATGTTAGTACATAATTAAGTGTACCATAGGTTATTATGCATATGTTAGTACATAGTTAAGTGTACCATAGGTTATTATGCATATGCTAATATATAGGTGTAATAATATATGGTACATTTGACTATGCTAGAACACATATGTTAGTATATAGGTGTAATAATATATGGTACACTATGTTAGAATACATATGTTAGTACATAGTTAAGTGTACCATACGGTATTACACATAGTACATAGTTAAGTGTACCATATGTTATTGCATGTTGCCAGTATGTAGTTTAATGTACCATATAAAGATAATTGTGCACGTTGTAAGCAAAGAAAAATAGTTGGATTCCACCGCCTGTGTGCGCTTACATTGACTTGGTGGAGATTACGAGAGATTCTATGCGAAATGTGAAAAATAAGTGCATTTACTCTTAGAAGTCCCACCCACCTGTTTTTAGAAGACGCCGTTGATATACAGTAATGGTATAACCACCATTACTAAGCGTTGGTATACCTACCATATTAAAGATGCCAATAGATTTAATGAAAACCTGTGTGATTTCCGATAGAGCCACTGCAAACCATGCATATCGTAAATGGCAACTAAAATGGGTACCCAGAATCTGGGTACCCATTTTAATTTGGGATAAAAACAATTTCAACATTCTCACTGTTTACCGGTTCTTTGAATACTGGAGACTCATAAATTATGAGACTCGATGGCGATTACGCAATTTTGTATAAACCCGCCTCGCATCTATACAAGTAATAGTAAAGCTACCTGATTAGAGACCATAGGGATTTCTTAAAGTTTTCTTTTCCTAAAGTCCTTCCGAGCTCACTCATAACCCTTTGCTCATGATAAGCCCATGATATACATGATTACACCGATGTTCCACCCTCACCTTTCTAAATGGAATGGGCTGGAATTACCCTATGTACGGGGCGAGGTTTAAAGAAAAGTATATCGGAGGAGTATAAGGCTACTTTCTAGGGCATTCGAAATGGTGAATATAATATTAAGAACATTAATTGCCTGTGACATTCTTCTCCCCGGTTTACAGGTTTCTAGATTGTGTGAGACATTTCTGGAAACCAACTTTCTGTGATAGTACTAATGATATGTATCATTCCAATGGTGTCAATATCCTTTGTTGGTATTTTTTACAGGAATTGAGAGATTTCTAGAAGACTACTTTTTATCTACTGTTATAAAAGTGTCAATAACCAGAGATTTCATTAATCCTCTCCTTGTTGGAATCGGTAGGTGATTTCTAGGAGACTATTTTATATGACTCTGTTAACTCTCCCAATAATATCTACCAACATCACCATAATAACAGTTTCAACAGTCAGCCTGATGGCCTAGTGGCTAGCATTCTGGTGCTCGGTACCACAAGTTTCAGGTTCAAGTGGCGGCGTTGCCATGGATGTTTGTAGTGGTTCGAAATCCACTTAAACAGTAGGTCCCTGTCTAATATGAGTATTGCGCGTAGGACTGATAACTCTGCCCCTTAAAAAGGAAAACATCTCATGGTTTGGTATCTAGCTGAAGTCCTAGGCCCTTTTTTACATTGTATATTCCATATGAACAATTTGGGGCTTGATGACCGACTGGCTAGAGCTGTGGCACTCGGTAAAACAGATTTTGCGTTCGAGTCCCAGAGATGCCATGGATTTTTGTAGTGGTTCGGAATCCACTTCAAACCGTAGTATAAACGTAGAGTGTCGCGGGGGTAATGTTACTCTGCGTCCATAGCATATCTGCAAGCTATATATGTCCCCTGGGTAGTGCTGAATTAGTAACATCGGCGCAGCCTTTGCTTATGGCATAAAGAGTAACTGTCTCTGTATTACTAGCTGCATTAGAAGAACAACCTGTGAGTTCAACCTACATTTCGCATAAAATTTTGTACCTGGTCTGAAAAAATTGTTTGAGAAACATGAAAATAAGAAAATAATCTTTGTATGGCGTCATAAAGATTTTAATAGCTTAAGACTTAATCAATCTTCTTGTTAACAGGTTAATCAGGCAAACTGAAATAATCTCTTCCTCCCTTTGTTTGAAATAAAATGGGCTGTAGCATATTTTTAACCAAAACACGTCATGAACTTCAGAAGGTTAAAGATTTCGCCATAAAACTTTATGAGTCATCAAGTATTTTCAAAAGCACTTAACACTGAAAATTATTTTGAAATTATTTATTTTAAATATTTTTTTTAACTAATTGAATTTTAAATAACTAGATTAGAAAAAAATGAACTTTTAAAACTGATTTGAAAGTCAAAAGAATAAAAAAAAAGCATTTGCATAAAGAGTTAAAAAATTAAATTAAAGAGGAACAGTTTCGGAAATAACAATAAATACAATCGAAAAGTTTGTCAAGAATTTTTTTTTCTCTGGTCGTCATAATTTAATGCATGTTAATTGCAATAAAAGAGACAATAAAATGAGTAAATATCGAATAAATAATAATAATAATAAAAAAATAATACTTATATACCTTTAAATGAATAATTACAATAAACACCATAAATAAAAGAAAATCAATATTTTTCAAGTAAGATAGGAAGTTAAAAAATTGATCGTAGAATCAATTAACCAATTAAATTAAAAATTATAAAAATAAAAATTAATGTGAAATATAAGTGAAATTATTCAACTTCTTTAAAGTATTCTTAAAACAGTATTAGTGAAAAAATATAAAGAGTTGCTGAATTAATTAACCCTTTTAAGTTTACATGATTTTTATTAAAAAATTGATTTTAATCGAAAATATTAGTTTTTATTTTATTCATTTTATAAAATGCTGTTGCTTTTAAAGATTTTAATATTAATCTTAAGTTTCCAAAAGTTCAGAATTTAAGGTTATAATATTTTTTCCCCTTAAATCTTTTATTTCATTGTCAAATGACAACGTTAGAAGAAGAAAATGATATAAAAATACGAATTAAAACTTTTGCTTTAATTCCCATTTTTTTTTTTTTTTTTTTTTTTTTTTTTTTTTTACAGAAATGTTGAAAATAAAATTGAATATTCCGAGTTTATTTACATCGGATGATTCTGAATTAATTTTCAGAATTAAAATCGTTTGTAATAAACATCATTAAATGCAATATTGTTTTAAAATTTACTTTTAATTCAATAAAAATGTTATTAAAATGTATTAAACATAATTTTGACATTTAAAAAAGTTTTTATTATTTAATAAAAATATTATTAAAATATATTAAACATAATTTTGACACTTAAAAAATGATTCTAATATTTTTAACCAAATTTTAATTATTATTGAAGTTTTTATTGAATTTGAAAAAAGAAGAATCATATATTAATTTATTCATTAAATTATTTTTTTTTAATCTTTTTTAATTATGGTTCGGAATTAATTCTCGTATTGGTTTAGTATATAATTTTTCATATTTTTTTCAATTCCTACTATTAGTTCACACTCTCCCTATATATATTTATATATCCTGTTCAAATTTCCAATCGTTAATAAAATACTTTTTATTCATCCACTCAAGTTCAAATACATTTTTTTAAACTTGTCGTGGATGACATTTGATGTTAATACAGTTTTTTTCAAATATTAATTCTTTAACTTAATTTAATTAATTAATTTTAGTTTATTAGCAGGATTTAGTTTATTAGTTATTTAGCAGGATACAAATTTAGGAATAAATACCGTCAGTGGTGAAGCGTGCAGATCGCTGGAAAAAATTTTCTTTTTCAGATTATTTTTTTATGCTGGGTTCTAGTCTGAATCAAGGAGGGAACAAACTGGTAAATTAAACACGTGAATAAATTAGTGAGAGATAGAGAAAGTGTGTATGTGAGAGAGAGATAATTTTTCCTAACTTAAAAAATGAATAAAAATTATTTACTTTCTTTGTGCAATATAGTGAAAAAAAAGTAGGAATTGACTTAATTTTTTTTTTATATTACTTGCTTTGAATTTATTGAATAGTATGTAATAAATATTTTAAAGCATTATATTAAAATTATCATTTATTATCTGATGCCTTAAACAAAATTGTTTGCAAGGTCTTCTATATTCCATCTTGACAACTATGTATAACAACCTGTCCTTTGACTTCAAGTGTGGTCTTCCTTCTTTTTACACAAAGAATAACGGGGTTGTTCAAATATTTCAAAAAAGGAGTAAATTCCGAGAACTACACCTGTTGACAAGAAAGATTTTTTTTCCTCCTCAAATTATTGACTGTTCTGGGAAAATCACGAAAGGAAAAAAGTTAAATACCGAAAATATTTCCAAAGTCCTAACATTAAATCTAAGATTAGTTTATAACTGTTCGTGTTACACTTTTTTTTTCATATAAATGGTGTTGTTGTTGTTTCTTATCCCACTTGGCTGGCCAAGCCCACGAGCCCATATGGACTCATGATTGAAGGGGAAGGAAGCAGCTTCTGTTGTGATGGGGCACCCGTAGGTAGAAGCCTGACTTTTGCTCTGTGACGCTCTTACAGTCATAGAAGACTGGGACCTACGGCTTAAAGTGGATTTCGAACCACTACAAACATCCATGGCACCGCCGGGATTCGAACCCGAAACCTGTGGCACCGAGCGCCAGAGCGCTAGACACTCGGCCATTCAGGTCCCAAATTTGCCAACGGCACGCAGTGTTCCCAGGTGGTCATCCACCCAAGTACTGACCGCGCCCAATGATGCTTAACTTCGGTGATCTAACGAGAATCATATAAATGGTAGATTGGGAAATGTGTACTTTTTAAACATTGCTCTTTTTTTTTTTTTTTTTTTTTTTGCAATAACCAATCATCCTCCCTTGTTTAAAAGAACAATTGTATCCAAGCTTGCTAAAACATGTTCTTAAAAAAATATATAGCCATTCACCCTTTGTAATCAAGGGTGATTCTTTATTTTTATACAAAAAGATCTAGAAAATTGTATTTGTTGGAGTTAAAAGTAAAAGTGGGAGTGCATTCCAAGTAATTTGCTTTGTGGATAGTTTTTTTTTTTTTTTTTTTTTTATCAAAATTACAGACTATTTAAAAAAATTCATTAAAAAATAAATGCGAAAAATATTTTAAAATAATTGCCTTAAATCTGTTATTTTAGCATTACAAGCATACACTGTTTGAAACCAATGGAAAATAACGTAGAACTTGTAGAAATTAGATATCACAATGGGTTTGGAAGCGCTCCAATGGGAACGGAGATTCATTTGGGGTCTAATCTTTCTCTTTACAGATGAACAAAGTATTGATTTATTTAACTTCGAATCGGATATCTGGGTTGCGGCGTATTAAATAACTTTTTAAAGTTAGGAAGTTCGACAATTTTTCTCTAGAAGTGTGCAATAGATTTTCTTTTGTTGCAAGAATGGGTATTGATAAGTTTTAATGATTGGATAGAAATACTTTATTTTACATTTTTTTCTATCATTGGTTTTAGTTATTTTATGTATTATATAATAAGTTTATTTTATTTTAGTTTTCTAGTTTTGAACTCCTTATTAGAAATTAATGTTCATTTTAATTTAATTGTTGATATCAATTTTTATGCATGCTTAAAAGTATGAATAGAGGGACTGCTAATGTTTTTAATGCTTTTAACTTTCTTGTGTTGGGGCAGTTGTATTTTATTGCACCGCTGTATAAAAATTTTAAAATGTACTTTCGTATATATATGTCATTTTAAGTAACATTAGTGCGCGGAATAAACTGTCAGCAAAATTAAAGGTTTATTTTTAAATTTTTTAGTTAGATTTGCTAATTGTCTATGCTTTTTCTTAAATAAGTATATTGGTCAAAAATATGGACAATCATTAATAATCTAATCATTCTTATTAAAGTCTATTTTTGTATATTTTTTTTATGAATTAAATTGCTTTTGAAACGATCCGAATGAACTAAATGTTTAATCATTTAGTATTCTATTGACAAATAATCAGCTACTGTCCCGTAAAAAATAAAAAAATAAAAAAAAAAATAAAAATAAATAAATAAAAAAAAAAAAAAAACTTTTGTTTTAAACAATTATTTTTAAAACTAAAAGTTAAAATTAAAACTGCATCATCTCAAAGAAATGTAACAACATATAGATGAATGAGAAAACTTCAAGGAATTAGTTACATGAATTGCAAACTATATCATTACCTTTTGTCAAAATAGATGAAAATCCAGATGGATGTTATTTAAATTATTTCAAAAAATTAATAATCAATTTCGAAAAGTGTACATAGCCTCAGAGAAAAGATCACCAAATGTAATCAAATAAAACTCTATTATCTACGCCAAAACACGCATAGTTTCCCAATGGAAATCAATCTTCATCTAACCAATTCCTCAGTACCACAGTCAACACGAAATCTATCCGAAAACATTGCTCTGCAGATTCCTTTTCTTCCCAGAAATAATTCTCGACCCGCCCTCGCGAATGCACAGTTGGTCACGTCTAGATTTTCCGTTATGGCCTTTCATCAGCAGCTAATCATTGCTCGTGCGTTTACACAATCACTGGAGCATCCGCAATCGAGGAACTTGTAGAAATTAGATATCACAATGGGTTTGGAAGCGCTCCAATGGGAAAGGAGATTCATTTGGGGTCTAATCTTTCCCTTTACAGATGAACAAAGTATTGATTTAACTTCGAGTCGGATATCTGGGTTGCGGCGTATTAAATAACTTTTAAAGTTAGGAAGTTCGACATTTTTTTCTAGAGTGTGCGACAGATTTTCTTTGTTGTAAGAATGGGTATTGATAAGTTTTAATGATTGGATAGAAATATTTTATTTGATATTTTTTTCCCATGGTTTTATTTATTTTATCATTTTATATAATAAATGTATTCTATCTTAGTATCCTAGTTTTGAACTGCGTATTGGCAGTTAATGTTTATTTTAATGTAATTGTTGATATCAATTTTTATGCATGTTTAAAAGTTTGAATAGGGTGATTGCGAATAATGTTAGTACTTTTAACTGGTCACGTCATTCAGGCGAGTTGATTGCAAAATGTAGGGGTGGTCATAATGCTTTAGCTCTTGAGTGTATATCATTATAAATAGAAGTGTAAAAGATATTTACAATCAAAATAAAAAGTACATTATTTCGACGAGTATATTTGGACCTAAATGTATATCAAACATATATCAAATACAAGGGCACAAAACTTTTAATAAAATTTCCATTTACCTGTAATGAGATGAAACATTGTAAAAGCAGGATAATGATAAGCATATCTATAAACTTGTAATCTCTTTTTTGGGATATATATTTTGAAATATATATTTATGTATTTCACTGCCATCTACTTGTTAACTTGAAGTTTAATATCAATATTAAATTTGTTCAAAACAAGCAACAACAACACACTATTGGAGTATGTTATCATACCCAAGCCCTTAGGGAACACAAAATCGCAATCATCAATTAATCAAGATATGTGGGTTGACAGAAATCGTTATACTTATCCATTGATGTTCGAAACTAACGAGACGTCTCTTTAGATGTTTCTTTAGCTATCTTAAAAAGACATATCATTGTTTCCTTAAGGTGTTGCAAATAATCGTTAAAGTTATGCGAAAACCTTTTTTTTTTTTTTTAAAAATTTACCCATCTTTACAAGTGCACAAAAATATTAATAATAATTTCCATTTACCTGTTAATGAGATAAAACATTTAAAAAGTTGGATAAGGAGAAGCAGATCTATAAACATGTAATCCATTATTGGGAAATATATATTTATGCATTTCTGTATTAAAAGTTTAATATCAGTATTAAATTAGTTCAAAAACAAGCAACATCAACACACTATTGGAGTGTTAACCACATCAATTCCCTCAGGGAATACAAAATCGCAATCATCAAAGCATCAAGATCTGTGGGTTGACAGAAATCGTTATACTTATCCAATGATGTCTGAAACTAATAAGACGAATGTTCACAATCAAACTTTTTGTAGAATGTCGACCCGTTCCACGAGACAGGAAGTGCTTAAGGCCTCAACAGTGGAGGATAACATTCAATTTGCAAATAGGGAGACATTTCATCGGACACAGATTTAAATAGAGAAATTCGAATCCTCTTTAGAACGACATTGTCTATTTGATGTGCTTTAAATATTCAGATCTATAAGAAAAGGGGGGATTGCTTTCAAAAGAGTTTATTTAAATAATCAGATGTTAGGATATTTAAATAATGAGAAATTAGTTTATTCAAGTAATCTGAAGTTATTTAACTTGTATAAGCTAGTTAACTCGTTATTATTTAAAAAGTCTAGGATTAAAATATTATTTTTTTCGATTATTGACTATTGTTAAAACGTCAAATAGCATGATTATTTAAACAAAAAAAAAGATTTTTTATTTATCAATGAGATGAATAATTATTTATATAAAATAAGAAATAATTTTTGTTTTCCGTTATTGAATAAAGAGTCATATGTGAACACACAACTGACCTAATATGATCGAACTATTAAAAACTATATAGTTCATTTTGAATATAAATATCTTTTTATAATTCTATTTATAATGATATAGGTATATTTGAGTATTTGGGATAAAATATATATTTGAATCACATTACTGCAAAACAGGAACTCATTAAAGTAGCTATTATTTTAAAAATGTATTTCTACAATAACTTAAAATTTCTTCTGATAATTTGTTCGTGATTTGTTTATTATTGTTTTCTTATGGTGTTGTAAATAATTACTACAATTATGAGTAATTTATTTTTTATGAAATTTAGCTATGTTTACAGTGTACAAAATTATTAATAATAATTTCCATTTACCTGTAATTAGATAAAAATTTGTAAATGCAGGATAATGATAAACAGATCTGCACACTTGTAATCAATTTTTGAGAAATATATTTTGAAATATATATTTATGTTTTCAGTACCATCTACTTGTTAACTTAAAGTTTAATATTAGTTGAAAACAAACAAGCAACAACAGCACACCATTGGAGAGCGTTATCACATCAAACCTCTAAGGGAATACAAAATCGCAATCATCAATTAATCAAGATATGTGAGTTGACAGAAATCGTTATACTTATCCATTGATGTCTGAAAATAATGAGACGAATGTTCCAATCAAACTTTTGTAGAATGTCGACCCATTCCACGAAACAGGAACTGCTTAAGGCCTCAACAGCGGGGGTTAACCTTTCATCTGCAAATAGGGAGACATTTCATCGGATACAACTTTAAATAGAGAAATTCGAAGCCTCTTTAGAACATCATTGTCTATTTGATGTGCTTTGAATATTCAGATCTATGAGATAAGGTGGATTGTTTTGAATAGGGTTTATTTAAATAATCAGAAGTTAGGGTATTTAAATAATCGGAAATTAGTTTATTCAAATAACCTAAAATAAGATTATTCACATAATCTGAAACTAGTTAACTTATTTAAGTTAATTAACTTGTTAATTATTATTTAAAGAGGCTAACGAAATTGAAATATTAATTTTTCGATTATTCAATATTGTTGAAACGCCAAATAGCATGATTATTTAAACAAAAAAAACATTTAATTACTTATTTATCAATAAGACGAACAATAATTTATATAAAATTATATTTCAATTATATATTTATATCAATATATACATCAATTTATATTTCTTAAATAAAGAATCATATGTTACCACACAACTAAAAATAATATGATCAAATTAGTAAAAAATAATGTACCATATTTTAAAAATAAATTTATTT